TTGCCATAAATATTAGGGGTGCACCGAATGGGAAATTCTTGGCCGAAACCGATACCGAAAATAGGAAACAGTTGGCCGAAAACCGAATGCCGAAAGGCCGAAAATGATTAATAGAAATATATATATATAATGTATACATTTTTTACCAATGTTGTTCAGCTACCTGATTATGGAAATAGACATGATTATGGCAAAACGTAACTTAAATAATAATCACTATTATGGGTCCATAAAACATTTATTCAGCACTTTTGAATGCATACAGTACATTTATATATGTCATGTATTATTGCTAAAAAACATTATATCGCAGTTTTAGTGTCGCCAACTCGTTTCTAATATGCAAAGACAACAAATGCGTCTATGATGTATTTTCGATCAGACGAGATCTCTCTCCCCCGTCTGTGTGCGAGGGGGCGGGGCAGCTGCTACATGCAGCTGCTACATGCAGCGGAGCACACTGCGGAGATGGCGGAGAGAACGCGCTCCGAGGTGTGGTTAAACTTTACCCGTCTCGATGTGGAGAATACTTGTTACCATAAGTGCAATAAGAGTTTAGCATGTAAGCACGAGCAATTTGTCTAAACATTTAGCAAAAGTGCACCGCATGCAGACGGAGGAATGTACCGGGTTCGACCGTCTTTCTAGCAGCTCTGTAGCCCCATCCACGAGTAACGTTTCCACGTCAGGTGTTATGTATGCTAGCAGCAACACACGGAGTTAACTCCATGATACAAACATGGGTTAATGATTAGAGGTAACTGAGTTATTTAGTTTGTTAACATTTCAGCTATTCTGTTTACAGTCTGTCATCAGATTATTTAATACGATTTGTTAAAGGCTCAGGGCAATCTCGATGACAAAGGTCAATGTTCCCCCCTCCCTGTGAGCCAGCCGCGAGCATGGTCGCCGCGTCTTTATTACGTCATCACAACAACACGTTAGGTTACCAACGTAAGCCTGTTCTGACATTCGGTGATATTTTTTCGGTGCTAAAACCCTTTCGGCCGAAAGCCGAAAGGGCCTTTTTAACCATTTTCGGCCGATAATTTTCGGTGGCCGAATATTCGGTGCATCCCTAATAAATATGATGATTGATTATCAGTAAAAAAGTATACGTGACACAAAGACATTGGATTAACCTTGAGATGCGTTTTTATTCCGTTGAACACAACTTTTGATCACAAATCAAAAAAGGTAAGACGTAATTATTGTAATATTTTTGAAACCGGATGTTGTTTACTTTTTCTTTTCTGGCTGATAGCTCCAGGAATTCGAGGTCTTACAGTGATGACATTACATGTGTGGAATCTGTGGAGTCTCAGCTTTAAATCGTATATCTTGTTTGTGCAGTTAAGATAGTAATAAGGGCATCTCTACCGTGTGTTGTGTGTAAAAAAGCGTTAGCATTAGTTAGCATTTTTTCGCTCAATGCTAATTCAAAGGCTTGGTATTACTCTTGTGTTTTTTTTAGCTAACAATTGTTCTTATTGTCAGTTAGCGGAGTTTCTTACCTTTAAAAGGGTATGAAACATTAATAGTTTCATAAATGTTAAGAAGCCCTGAGACATGTGAGAAAAAAAAAACTGTGGGAGGGGTCCACTGGGGGGACCTTCGGGCTTAACTGGTTAAATAACCACAGACACCAGAATGATGTAATTTAGCAACAGAAACAGGCAGGAATTGCATTGGACCCGCCCCCGATGACGCCGGCCAATAGGAGAACACCTCAGATGACAACAGGAAGAGCAAGCCAATAATTGATCTCTTCTACCTGCTGACCTGGGCTGACGGGAGATGAGGAGAGCGCCTCCTTTTTCAATTTATTTTGTTCACCACCGCATCTTTTGTGTAATTAAATGATGTTAACTTTTATAAGCTTCCCTTGACTCTTTTCAGTCTCTCCTGCCTTCAGGGAGGTTTTAAATGGTTTATAACAAAAAGGAGAATATACGTAAGTGTTAGTTTTTTTGCGAGTCCAAGTACCGGTTCCCGACGTTCCGGTTTTAACCGGACTTGAACCGAAACTTTTTACAAGTCCAGTACCGGTTCGGCGTACCGGTACGCAGCACTACGTGTGAACATTCCACGACAGGATGATGTGGAAAAATTGCCTTACTTGAGTAACATAAAGCTGCACGACTTGAATGCAGATGTGGATTTGCTCATCGGAACTGATGCAGCAAAAGTGGTGGAACCATGATCAACAGCCAAGATGAAGGCCCATACGCAGTCAGAACAAGAGTCGGCTGGGTCATTAATGGACCACTTAGGAGTGGAAGTAACGGCAGACTTAAGACTGGCTGCTCTGTTGTCACAACAAACCGCATATCTGTGGAACATCTGGAAGAGATGCTCATTAAGCAATACAACCATGATTTTAATGAAAAAACATCAGAGGGGCAATTGGAAATGTCAAGAGAGGACATTAAATTCATGAATATAATGAGAAGTACTACAGAACTGAAAAATGGACATTACATTGACAGAGAAGAGGAACCGGTCTTGCCAAATAACCGCTGTGTTGCAGAGCAGCGACTTCAAGGCCTGAAGAGGACATTTGAAAAGAACATCAAGTTTAAAGAGGAGTACACCTCATTCAAAGAAAAAGGAACATAAAGCTACGGAAAGTGACAAGGATGCAGGAGTTAAAAGTACAGTTGAACAGAAACTTAAGAGCTTCAAAACCACACTCGGTGGAAAACATTTGACTTCAGAAGATTGTGATGAAGCAGAGAAGGCAATCATTCATTTTGTTCAGAAACACAGGTTTAAAAGTGAAATTGCCTCCCTCAAACATGGCTCAAATATTGTCTCCAAGGACAGTCCACTGTACAAGCTAGACCCCATACTGGAGGATGACTTTCTCAGAGTTGGTGGTCGTTTGTACAAGTCTGCATTACCATCAGAAACAAAGCATCCTGTTATTCTTTCCAAAGACCTGAATGTCTTCCAGCTCATTTTACGCCATATTCATCAACAACTAGGACACGCTGGGAGGAACCACATGTTGTACAGACTTCGACAGAGGTATTGGATAATTAATGCCAATTCAGCTGCAAGAAAGACCATTACAGATTGCATGGTGTGTAGACGGCACAGAGGAAAACTTGGGGAACAGAAGATGGCAGACCTGCCTGAAGAGAGTTGTGCCAGACAAGGCTCCTTTTACTACAGTGGGAGTTGATTATTTTGGCCCCATAGAAGTGAAAAGAGGAAGAAGCCTTCTAAAAAGGTATGGAGTGATTTGCACTTGTCTGACCAGCCGTGCAGTACACCTGGAGGTGGCACATTCCCTTGATACAGACTCTTGCATTAACCTGTTAAGCCTGAAGGTCCCCGCCGGCGGGGACCCTGGGTCTTTTTTTAACGATACTGTGTCTCAGGGGATCTTAATATTTAAGAACCTATTAATGTGTTATACCAGATTAACGGAAATAATCTCAGCTAACTGCCGATACAAACCATGTTTACCAAAACAAAACACAAGTCTCACAAGAAGCATCTAAATTACCCCCGAGCGAAAAATGCTAACGGACATTGGCACATAACTTAAGATAAAAGTACCCTTATTACTTATCATAGCTGCACATACAATATATCCGATTAAAGCTGAGACTCCATAGATTATGTAGGTATATAGTATCATCACTGAGTGATCCGGACTCGCGACAGGGGAAGCAAATACAGTCATCACAACACGTACCTTTACGAAGCTTCTAGGGAGATCGTCTCACAAGTAGCTGTCAATCTGATCAAAGTACGTGTTCAATGGCATTAAAATGAGAAAAAACGCGGCTTAATCTGTTAATCCATAGGTTCTTAACGTCCAAGTATAAAAAACTGATTGAATTTATAATCCATAATTCCATTTTTATGTAAAAATCGGAGAGTAAATGCTAGCTGCTAATGGTAGCCACCACAGCTAGCTGCTGCTTCCGGTCTCGGCGATGCAGCAGTCTCACACATACACATGACCAAATAAGGACTATGTGGGAGTTCCCCTCGATTCCATTGGCTCTGACTGTCAGAAAGAGATGTCACATGTTAAAATCGAGTAAGGGGGGCTAGAGATATGGAAAATCCACCCAAATGGCCCCAGAAGAGGTTTTTTTTTGCTAAATCTGTCATAAAATATCACTTGTTTTGCATCAATCTTGATACAGGGTACTTATTATATGTTGTACTTTGGATTCCTAAAGCTTTTAGTCTACTAACCCATCATCCAACGTTAGTTTTCACTATAAGTAAAAAATATTGTTTGGACGGAAACTATCATTTACAGTTTTTTACCATGTTCAATCTGAAATTTCTTTAAAATAAAAAACATCTATATTGAATCTGACTTTTCTACATCCAACTCACAGGTTTATCATTACTTTGAGAATTTTTTTTATTAATTTAACCCTTTTAGAAGGGAAGATATGGTCATTTGTTCTGGGAATGTCATTTTCGAGCCTGAAACCTGAAAAACAGGCTCGGGGTTTAACAGGTTAATGCCTTGAGGAGATTCATTTAACCTGTGTCAAGTTTAAGATCTGACAACGGCACAAATGTTGTTGGAGCAAACAAGGAGTTGAAGCAAAGTCTTGCTACTTTGAATAATGCAAAGATCCAGGATGCCCAAATTCAGGATGGAATTAAGTGGAGCTTTAATACGCCAACAGCCTCACACCAAGGTGGCTTTTGGGAGCGTCTCATTCGATCAGTAAGGAGAATACTGACCTCTGTTCTTGGACAACAGGTTTTGGATGATGAAGGCCTGCAGACACTGCTTTGTGAAGTAGAGGCGATACTAAACAACAGACCCCTCACAAAAGTGTCTGATGACCCTAATGACCTCGAGGCCCTCACCCCAAACCATGTTCTTCTGCTGAAGGGAATACCCATCTTTCCCCCTGGACTCTTTGAAAAGAGTGACCTGTACATCAGAAGGAAATGGAAGCAAGTACAGTATATCGCAGAGTTGTTTTGGAAAAGATGGACATCTGAATACTTACTTGTGATGCAAGAAAGACAGAGATGGGCAGCCCCAAGAAGAAACTTCTCCCCAGGAGATATTGTCATCATTGCCGATGCTACAGTTCCAAGAGGATCCTGGAAGATGGGTCGAGTTGTGAGTACCAAGTCTGACTCCAAAGGACTGGTCCGCTTTGTGTGCATCCAAACCAAAACCAGCGTCTTGGAGAGACCTGTGACGAAGATCTGCCTGCTGGTGGAGGCCACAGAATAAGATCATGGACAATTCTATCTATTTTCTCTTCCTATCCTGTCTTCTTACCATCTGTTTATCTTTCAGTGGCTACAGAGAAGGTGACACAGAAGACACTATGGCTCTTGGATAGAGAAAATAGCTCCCTTATATGTTTTAGATAAGGGTAATTGTGATTCTCACAATTAGGGGCCGGAATGTGGAAGCTATTCAGTATTTTTCACATTTATTTAATGTATTTATTTGTTATTTTTTGTTTCGTAGAATTAATTAATTTACAGCCATATTATTTATGTTAAGTTGTGTTCCAGCTAAAATGCTTTTATTTTGAAGGTGATGGGTAAATGTTCACACACATCTGGGTTTATTTAAGTCAATCAGGGCACAGCAGCAGTCTGTGGGCACCGGGAAGGTCTATGGTTTTTTACCAGTATCAGGGCTGAGTTCAGCAAACATTTCAACACCTTTTGCTGTATTGTTCTTGCCAAGGTGAAGCTAATAAATACCACAAAAACGTTGATGCCTTATCTGGACAATGGACTCATTACCAACTCATGATCTGCGTAAGATCCACTATACCTGGTGCCTCAGTGGCCTTTTGAAGTTTTATTGTTGTTGACAAATAGCCACTACAGGTAATATTTAAAGAGCCTGTGACAGCCTCCCAACAACTGTTGTGCAATGAAATATTGGGCTACTAGTAATCTCGAACCGTCAGTTTAAAAAAGAAGGTGCGATACCGTTCCGATAAATATCAATAATTTCGAACATCGCTGGGAAATTCCTTCGACTCATTTTGAAGTTTTGGGGGAAGCCGGAAGTGACGTCAATGCGGGAACGCTTCACTGTGCGGCGAGAGAGCCAAACACGGACAAAGTGTATTGTCATGCGTAGAAATGGTGAATTACTGAGTTTAGGCACGTTAATAACGTTTTAATGAAGTTGACTACAGTATATTCATATTTGTCAGTGCTTTCATGTCAATTCGGCGAACATAAACATAAATGATCGTGGTGAAGATAATGATTAAATTAGGATTAAAAATTGGTAGTGAGAGCTGCTGAATTTCCTCCCGTCGGATGTGATATAAAAACAAATCGATTATTTTTGTAGTTGTAAACTCAAGTGGATGAAACTACATTTATTAGTGCTTTCATGTCAATTCGGCGAACATATGATAGATTAAATGATCGTGAGGATGATGATTTAAAAATCGTTTGTTTGAGCCGGTCTGCATTTCCTGATGAGTAAACAAACCGATGCTTTTTGTAGTTGTAGTACACCAACATGGATTAAACGTGTGGTTTTTTTACCACAATGTTGGGGAAATTAATGGATAAAATGCACGGATTATTATTATTATTATTCCCACTCCGATCGGGACACTAGGTCCACCGTTTCCCCGAAGCAAGGCTCCCCCCGTTGACAGTTTACATGGGCAGGGCTGGGTGCAGTGGCGGACTGGCCATCGGGACGAATCCCGATGGGCCGGTACCGAAGTGGGCCGGTCGGATAAGTCACTAGCACATCCCCCACTCCCCCCGTTGACAATTTACTAGCGGTACCGAAGTGGGCCGGTCGAGAGTCCCGGGATGATTTTTAGTCCCAGTCCACCACTGGCTACATGACCGTATTATCGCCCATATTGACGCACCTAATTCCTAAACTTCTAACAGATACAACATAAACCGATTCTTCAGCCTCATATGAGCTCTCAGACACGTTCAAAATTAAACTGTCATCGCTGTCTGAGCTTGCTGCTGTCTGAGCTTGCTGCTGTGTGCGCCATCGTGCGTTTACATGCAGATGCTGGGATCATGAACGGTGCAGCTGGAGCGCTGTGCCCGCAATGACGTCACACATAATTTGGCGGGACTTGAAGAATCCCCGAGAAGATCCAGAAAATGGTCAACATTGAAGGGCAGATTAATGGTTATCAAAGTACAAATATCCAAAATCAGTTCAGTAACGGTTTTCAAGGGGACAATATTTACTCAAATTGATGGGTTTGGATGATGGGGGAAACTCGTGTCACAGGCTCTTTAAATCAGTACATTAAATGGCATATTATTCAATCCATGTATTTTTATTAATGCTGTAAAAATTATCGCGTTAACGGCGGTAATTAATTTTTTTAATTGCGTTAAAATATTTAACGCATGTGCAGAATGGCCCGCCCCATACATCCCACCAGTGGCAGTGCGAGAGTATGGCTGGGGTATGCTACACCCATACCAAGAAATGGCTTAGCCCCACCATGAAAAATGATGTTAAAGTAAGCAAAATAAAGTCCGCCAACTCGCGCGGAGTAAATTGCACAGACAGCCGTTAGTAAGATTGATTTCAGTAGCCACTTGTCTGGAAATACCGAAGACCAGAAACAATATTGAAAAATGTTGTCACGTAGTGATCGTCTTCTCAATAGAACATCTTTGATAATGCCTTCTGGCCAATCAGAATCACGATAACGGCGTGGTGTTGTTGCAGGAAGTCGACGGAGAATACTTTTGCGGTAGTACATCTCTATATACAGGGCTGCACATAACTGGTGTGCAGGTGCACATGCGCACTTCCGCCAAAAAAAGAGCACCTGGTCATTTGAAAAAAGGCGCATTTGCGTACCAACCAAGTGGCAAACTCTGGGTAACAGCCGGGACGCCAATAAGGAAGTGCCAAACACTGCAGTTCATACATGGGCCGCTAGGGACTGGCTGCAGAAAGGAGCAATTTCCATAGACCTCCATGTTAAAATGCCCAACTTTACAGCAGAAAAAAACATGTTTCTACCCATGGATGCAATAAATATTATTATCGATATAGTTAGATTCCACCTTCATGATTATGAATCTGTGAGTGAATTGTTTTCTAACACGACCCTTTTATTTATATTAGGTCTTAAAGTTTTTGCATAAATTAGGGCGTGGTCACGTTGATGGACACGTACATGCCTCACTGTCAGCTAACAGCAACTTGTCCACTCTGCTAGGCTACAACCATAGAGGCTACAACGTCAGTTAGTCATAGTACTGTACTTGACCCTTTAGCTTTAGCCGTGTTCGTGGTGATTGTGCCTTTTAGGGAATATTGTTACAAATACCAGACAATTAAAATGTTGTGCTCTGCGCTTGAATGTACTAACAGAACTTCCAAGAAGTCTACAATTATAATATTATACATGTTAACCCCGTTCGCAGGTGTTTGTGTGCTTGGTAGCTTAGCTTATTACTTATTAGCCAGCTAAGGACGTAACCCTTTATGCATACATATACATTTTAGTTTATGATTCAGCCTTGGGTAAGACTTTTATAGTCTATGGCTATGACGCCCATAATGCTAAACGGGAGCAAATGTTAATAGGGGACCCAATTATCCCAGTGGTGGCCGCCGGAGCTAACGGAGCCGCAGGGGGCTAGCTCCAGCCGGCGTCCCGGAGCTAAACCCCTGCGGCTCCGTTAGGTCACACGTTTTCTCAACGTGTGAATGACAAGCATTAAGAATAACAAAATATAGCTAATTCTCTTGCAGATTGTCTCATTTGATTATGAATGTAACATTTATATAGGGGAACTACACTGTTAGCAGTAACTTGGTATGCATGTATTTCATGTTAGCTTAGCTTCTTAGCCTGAGCTAGCTCTGTTTACTTCCAGTTCGGAGGCAGCAGGTCCCGCCTCGGCTCCACCTCTTTGCCCTTATTTGGAGCAGGCGGGATTAGACTCTGACGTCACAGTCGAGCCGTTAGTGGCCGACTCCGCCTACTAAGGGCTTCACGGCAACTCTGCAGAATCCTATGGGTGACGTCACGGACACTACGTCCATTTATATATACAGTCTATGGTACCAACATTGAGAGAGAGAGAGGGAGAGAGAGAAGGGAGAAGAGAAAAGAGAGAAGAGAGGAGAGAGAGAGATATTTGCGAGTTGCATATTAACTCAGGGCCGGCCCGTAGCACTGGGGTTATAGATGTTCGCCTAGGGCGCCAGATCTGTGGAGGCGCTGCGCTGGCAGCTCTGGGAGGGAAAAAAACATTTTTGACCATTGGCGCTCATCCTAATTTTCGGCCTTGATGTAACAACATTCATAATTAAGTAAATGTAACACCCTTTTCATCCCGGTTACACGTTTCATTTGCCCTGTAAAATGGGCGCTGTAAGTGATGAAAATCGGGGATGTTGGCTTATCTGGCGCCCGCAGCTCACAGCCAAAATGCGAGTGAGCGAGGGAGAGAGGGAGGGTGCACCGGTACCGGCGCTGTTGTTATTAGAATCTGGTGCTAGCTGCTCTAACGGATATAAGAAGAAGATGTTTCTACAATAATGTGGAGGAAGAGTCCTCTCCAGTCAGACTGAGAGGCTGATACTACAGCTCAGTGAGGTAAAGGACTCTTGAGTGTTTAGATCAGGGATGCCCAACCGGTCGATCGCGGGGAGATTCCCAGTCGATCGCGAGATGTGTCTAAAAATAGAACAATAACATTCTGTTTTATCGTTAATGTCCTGTAACATAATCTTCCCGTGCCAGAATAATGCACTTGAACGCATCAAAGCTTTGTGATTGGCCGGCTAGACCCCATGTGTCGGGGCGTGGCTGGTCGGCAGTGGGCAGTGCACTATTTCGCTGACGTTGTCCAACTTGTCCGTGTCAACAGGAGTGACAGTCCGCACACACACAAGACCGCAATTATGGCAGAAGCAAAAAAGCCCAAAATATATAATTTTTACTCCGAGTGGGAGGATCATTATTTTTGTATCTATTCCAATTCAAAGTCCATCTGTCTCATCTGCAATGTGAGCGTGGCTTTATCGAAGAAGGGTAATTTAGGAGCGGCATTTCAAAACAGTGCACAAACGCCACGAGACGGAATTCCCTCCTAATTCTGCCCTACGCTCCAAAAGGGGAGGGGCCTGAAAGGACAGCTAAATGCACAGCAGTCCATTTCCACCAGGCTCAACAACAAGAGCAAGGCTGCTACCAGAGCATCTTATCGTGTCAGTCACGTTCTTGAGAAACACATGAAGTCTTTCAAAGACGGTGAAGTTGTGAAAGAAGCATTCCTGGAGGCTGCGACGCGCTTTTTGGGGACAGTAAAAATAACAGAAGCATTTCAACAGGTTTTTGATATAATAAAAACTCAAGTTAGATACCGTTATTAATCAGCTGTAAGTTTTAGTTTGAACTTATTCATTATAATTATTGTACAAAATGGTATAAGAATGCAAACTTAAATTGATTATAGTCTATTATCAATTCAGGTTAAGAAACTAGTGTTGCTTGCATCCTATTTTAAAGGCATTTCTTTTTATACTCTACTAAAATGCAACAAAAAAAGGGTTTGATTCTATTGATGTTGTCTTTTTTATTGCACTTTGGCAGCAGATTCCTGTGTAGCTTCAGATCTGAGTTGTCTTATTAGTAAGCCTAATTTATACTTTTGTAGCAACGCTATTTTTATATAATGGCAAAGAAAGGGTTCAGAGTCTTTTCTTTTTCCCTGTGTCATATGTGGCAGCACTGTTCAATGCTTCTTGAAAACATTACCCACTGTAGTGACGTGTGAATAAACTCCAACTCTGTATCAACAGCACTGTTGTGTAACTTCAGTTAAATACTTGTATGTGTGTAGATTAGAAAGAGGTAAGATAAAGGATCTGCAGTATTTTATGAAGTATTCATCGTACAAAGGTCAGTTTTATACAAGTAGAAGTGTGTATTTACCTGGTAGTAGGCGGTCAGTAACTACGCCTCTCTATTTGGACTGGTAGATTATCGGCAGACTGGCAACTTTAAAAGTAGCTCTCGGTTCAAAAAAGGTTGGGCACCCCTGGTTTAGATAGTTCACTTTAGTCTAAGTTACCTCAGTGGGTCTCAAACAGTTTGGTCACAATTTATGTAAACACATATTTCCAAGGCACTCCTTTATAATTATTGGGATAAACAGGTTTGAAATCATTTCAATGTATACTATAGGACAGTAAACCAAAAATATCCTTTAAAACTGGAAAGATAAAAAAAGATGCATAAATAACTATGTTAAGGTAAATAAGATATGAATGAACAACACAAATAAAATAAGTTACATTCAATTGTTATTGGCTATGGTAGGTCATTGGTTATGTTCACATACTTATTTGATTACATCCACTTTTCTAAGATGACAACAGAGACTTTCGACCCAAACCCAGCTGTTGACTTGTGGATGCAAGCAGCTAATCGCAGACTCAACCAGAGAGAAAGAAGTAGGCCTACATCATCAGCTACCATGTCTGACAAAGAGGAAGACAGTGAGGAGAACAGTCAGGAGGGGAGTGATGACAGCTTGTAGGATTACTGGTCGTGCTAATGTTGTCTTGTGTTCACCTCTGCATGTGTGTTCACCTCTGTGTGTTCAGTGCCGTGTGTCTGGCAAATAAAGACCCCCTCAAAAGGTACGGTTTATTTCATTTTAAGGATGAGCACCAAGCAACATCTCCAGGTGCTCCTTTGAGAACCTGGGCAAAAAAGTGATGTGCACCCCTGCTTATATACATCGATACAACATTACATGTTGATAGAAATCAACATGTAATGAAATAAGACCCCACGGTTTGATGATTGATAGGTGTGTGGGCTGTCTTTCATTTTGACACACAGAACAATGTTATAATAAACATACATACATAGCCTACTGTATGTTAAATGGATATATCTGCCTTCTTTCATTTATCTTTCCATTCCCACAACAATATACATAAAGAAATGGCATATTTTGGACATAGTTCGAATGGTGATTAATCATGATTAATACATTTTTAAGCTGTGATTAATCTGATTAAAAATGTTAATCGTTTGACAGCCCTAATTTTTATAAATATATTTATTTTGGTAGGTTTGCTCTTCCGTAATACATTTGAATTATTATAATAAAGTACATGTGTCTAATAACACTTACATACTTTTACTTAAATAAGATAAACTTAAAGATATGAAATGCTGTAACTTGTAATGGAAGATTTTCAGTGTGGTGTTTGTACTTTTACTTACCTGCAGCAAGTGCTGATAAATGGTCTAAAGTGTTATTAATGTGATAATAAAGTGCTACTGAAGAGTGTAAAGTGTTAATTAAGGGTAAAGGGAACAGACCTGCTCTGTGTATCCGAAGCTGAGGCTGTAAAACAGCGTCCAGAAGTTTCTGGAGTCTCTTGTTCTCCTCTTTGGAAAGAAACAGCTCCTCCTCGAGCTCTGCTATCGTTTTTTCAAACGGAGCAAATATCTCTTCAGCAGTGAGTCGCTGCTTCTTCAACGACAGCAGCATTTGGACTTTACTCATGTTTCCTAGATCACCTTTCCCTGCAGACTCCGTTAAACACACCGTTTCTCTCTCCGTCAAACTCTCAATCTGACTAGCGTTGCTAACGTGTTTCCAGCTAGCATGCTAAGCTAGCTCCTATAGTCCGAGGTAAACGCTCCAGAAAAAAGAGCACAGAGTCCATTCAGAGGTTTATCCAAACACAGAGATGATGGATCAGTAGAGCTGGAGCTCACACGCACTTTCTCAGGAACACAGAGAGAGAGAACCGGAGCGACGAGACGCCACCTCGATCCAGGTTAGAAAGAGCTGGGAACTTCACTTCCGGTGCGGTTTGAGGACGTCAAAATAAAAGCGGGAAGGATTTCTTCTTTTTGGTTTTAAGAACGATTGGCATCCGGACGTTGCCTTAACACCTACTACTGGATCAATAATAAAACTACTCTTTCAAAACAAAACTATTATAACTAACAAAAAATACTCATAAAGGAAAAAGGGAAAATAAATAAACATCATTAAGCTAAACAGGTCGCAGTGCACACATCAAATATCTGTATAGTGTTAGAAATTAAAATCAATGTGGATATGGCGTAATTTGAATTACATACACTATTTAATTTAAATCAGTTTCACACTAACTATTAACTTACCACTTTTATTCTGAAAATTCTTCATTTCCGGTTAGGATTAGCATGTGGCGAAATGCTATGTTTTCAAACCGTGAATCGAAGAGGAAATGACATGTGATGTTGTACACTAAACACACTGGGATCAGTGGCGGTTCTAGACCAATTTGACTGGGGGGGCCACTGGGGGGCCAGTTATTTTCTGAGGGGGGCACAATAAATGCAGGACGAAAAAGAGAACTAGACAGTATGAAGTAATTGCGCATAAGAAAACAATGCAATACAGTTATTGATATTTGTTTCAGTACACTTATTTATTTCACATATATCTTATAGTTATTACTGTTAGCTTCAGCTTAAGTTATAGTGCAATGTTTGCACTCACACCATATTTATATAAAAATAAAGGCAATGAACAGTTACATCTCTACTTTACATAAGGGTGTCTGCACAATCTCACATTACAGCAACAAAATCCTGAGTACCAGAAAATATACATTTAAAAAAAACTAAAAAAAACTTTTCATTGTTAGGGGGGCCACAGGGGGGTCAGAGGTCAGTGTTAGCCCCCACTAGAACCACCCCCGACTGGGATTAGCACTCATTTATTGACGCTGAATAACGTTTATCAGGGAATGTTTAAATAACCACAGACACCAGAATGATGTAATTTAGCAACAGAAAAAGGCAGGAATTGCATTGGACCCCCACGACGCCGGCCAATAGGAGAAGACCTCAGATGACAACAGGAAGGGCAAGCCAATAATCGATCTCTTCTGCCCCCTGACCTGGACTGACAGGTCACATGAGGAGAGCGCCTCCTTTTGCAATTTCATTTGTACACCACCACATATTTTGTGTAATTAAATGCTGTTAACTTTTATAAGCTTCCCTTGACTCTTTTCAGTCTCCTTCCTTCAGGGTTCTAGAATTGCTTTCACTACCAATGAGACACATATGACTCCAACTTGACTGCACCTGAGGTCAGGTTACAGGGGTACTGCCCATATTTAGTAGATTAAAAGGAGTGGCAGGACCTTCAACACATCCAGACCTCTAAGCATCAAACTCTGAACTCCGTTTCCAGTGCACTTTTTTGAAGACTTGTTACATCTTTGTTCTCTTTTGAGCATCAAACAAAACAGATTAAAAAAAAAAAAAATGCAAACAAACAAGTGAAATGAACTAAATGAATTGCTTTTAATTCACTGGCAGGAGCGACAAGTGAGGAGGAGCAGAAAGTGAACAACGAGGGAGAGATTGAACACAGAGAAAGCGTAGAGGACAGAGAGAGTAATGAAGATGGAAGAGAGGGGTATGGAAAGGAGAGAGACATGGAAAATGAATGTTGACAATGTGTTGTGATCATGTTAGCCTCTTCTGCATGTCCAGATCATTAATAGTAACAATCAACTGATTCTTATGTATTACACTTTCAAAAATAATTTATGTTGACATTGTCAGCCCACTGACATCGTTTGAAATCAATATATTATCCAATGTGTGACCCCCCACAGGACTTAAAAAGCACCTAACTAGATCATGAAAATCCCAAAAATCTCGAGGGGTATCCCCCGAACCCCCCTAACATGTTTGGACCTAGGTATTTTGTAAATCCTGGATACGGCCCTGATTGCATCGCCTCCGACTCCCTTTCTCCCGGCACTACAATAGTGTATTTAATTCAAATTACGCCATATCCACATTGATTTTAATTTCTAACACTATACAGATATTTGATTTGTGCACTGCGACCTGTTTAGCTTAATGATGTTTATTTATTTTCCCTTTTTCCTTTATGAGTATTTTCTGTTAGTTATAATAGTTTTGTTTTGAAAGAGTAGTTTTATTATTGATCCAGTAGTAGGTGTTAAGGCAACTTCCTGATGCCAATCGTTCTTAAAACCAAAAAGAAGAAATCCTTCCCGCTTTTATTTTGACGTCCTCAAACCGCACCGGAAGTGAAGTTCCCAGCTCTGTCTAACCTGGATCGAGGTGGCGTCTCGTCGCTACGCTTCTCTCTCTCTCTGTGTTCCTGAGAAAGTGTGTGTGAGTTCCAAAAAACGATAGCAGAGCTGGAGGAGGAACTGTTTCTTTCCAAAGAGGAGAACAAGAGACTCCAGGAGCTACTGGACTACAGCTAATGTCCAATCCTTGTGTTTCTTGGCCCAAACTATTCTCTTCTTCTTGTTGTTCATCCTCAGTAGTGGATATTTGCAGGAATTGGACCATGGACCAATTGGCCTAATTCACGCAGTCTCCTCTGAACAGTGCATGTTAAAGGTCCCATGTCATGCTTTTCCTGTTATTACCTGTCCCCTTGTGTGTTATTTAGCTTTTTCTGCTAACGGTCTGCAGAGTCACAAACCCTCAAAGTACACCCTGTAGCGAGTAAAACTCTAACACAGAAAATATGTGTCTATTGTTACGACCCGCCCTCTACTCCGTGGTAGTGAATCGTGGAGAGACCTGCAGCATAAAACAATACACGCAAAAACCAGTACTTGGTAACGATAATTTATTGAAGTACAGCCGTTTACTCACACAAGCAATCCGGCATACGCAAGGAGGTCTGGAGGACTGGAGGGGAGCACGTAACATCTATGCTGCCCCAGAACGCCTCGTTGGAGATTTTTCTTTTTCCATTTTTTCCTTCCGGCGCATACTGACGTAACGAAGTCCAAATGGACAAATCCGCGGAGCTCCGCAGTCCGCACACACACACTCAATCAACCTTATATTTTCTCAGCCGCGGTGCTGTCTCGCAGACCCCACGCAGCAACCAGGGAACAACACCAGTAAGCGAGCTCACACTGTCCGCTCCTCGAGCCTCAAATGGCGGAGCAGCGAGCCCCGCAACGTCCCCTCAACACGGCATCCAGACCCCACGAAGGTTTCTCACCTGTTTGTCCTTACTGGTGTCATTTTCTGGTTGCTAACAAACGCCATTGTAAAACATAATCACTGATGTTCCGCTGTAATGGTGGTGGACTCATCAGAACAGAGTGGGCGAGCTGACCAATCAGAGCACAGTGGGCTCATAGGGGGTGTTTAGAGTCGGCGAGGTCCTGATAATTTATTCCGGTAAATTACTCTGACCTACTAATTGACCTGACCGAAGTTATTGAGTCTATGTAAGTTTACTGCTTGGCTCAGATCCAAAAACGTCAGCAAGATCTCACCTCTATTAACTCCCCGAAGAACCAGGTTCAATTAACTGCTGTTTCTATTCAGACAACTCTTTTTTAATCTGTTTAAGGGATCCCGAAGGATTTTTACATCAGTAACATTAGGTAGGAGTGTGCTCCTACCTAAGTGTGTGTGTGTGTGGCAGGGTGCAGTCTTACCTTTGAAGCAGGAGAGGAGAGCACAGATTTTATTTTAGTTGTCCCAATCCAACAGGTAGGATCAGTTTATTTGAAGAAAAATAGGTCCAAACTAATACAGGGTTTTTACCTTCTCTCTTTACAACATTATAATCATACTAAAAAAAATGATGCTGTGATCATGTTCAAATATGAATCTTTAATTCACAGTCTTACATTTATTACCAAAATGTTTAACTTCAACTGCCCAATTCAGTTGTGACATTTTAAAATCTCCCGATAGAATTTAGAGGCATTTCCTCATAAAAAGACCGGTGACAATACAAATCTGAATTCAAACTTTCATTTTCACCCAATCAATTTACATCAGGTTCATACCTTTTTTCCGACACAGACGGCGGGTACTAACATTCAAAAACACACACCTATCTCCCGCAGGTATTCGGAGGAAGATCATCACGGTGGCGGTTACTAATACTCACAGACACATCTCCCATCAAATCATTCCACTCAGCATTCCAACGAAGAAATTCACTCAGCATTCAAAGAAATCCACTCAGCATTTCAACCAACAAATTCAAGAGATATTTACCAAGTTTGAGAGAACTTTTACCGAGAGCAATTTACCCAGCTCTGAAGGACAGAGCCTACCGGGAGAGAGTATACCAGGGGAAACCCCCCTCTCTCTCGCGCTCTCTCAAAAAACCAGTCTCTTTATGCTCAAAAAATCGGATCGAAACCCCCAAAAAACACCTCCTCTATTCCCAACCAACATCTTCTATTGGCTATGGCATAAGACACACCTTCCCATGTTTGTGTAAAAAATAGCTAAAACATGACTAGACATTTTCTATGGCTATGACATAACCACCTTTTTGAGGCCCTCAATGTGTTTCTCCTTAAGTCAGGAGCCCCCCTCCCTGTGCACCCTTGTGAG